AGTAGCTAGGGGATGGTTATACCCACACCGAGCCTATTTTACATATTTATATGTTCGTGCTTTACGTAGGCACATTTTTTTAATCGCTCCTAGCACAGGGTGTTATTGTAGAGACGTTGTCGCACCTTCCCATCTTGGAGCAACTTTCCTCCCTCCTGGCCCCTCTTGACAAATTCAGTTTGTTCCCTTCCCCACAGGTAAGTGGGGTGAGAAGGTGCTTGGCAGGCGGGAGCGTTTGGGACTTTGGCTTTGTGCCCGGCTGGGGACACATCCGAGCTTCACGGGCACCAGGGGAGCATCCCTGGGCGAGTGTCACCTCGGGCGGCCACGGGACCCACTGGGCTACAGCCAATTTTTGTGGCCTTACAACCACATTTTCCCTTTTTTAATCTCTCTCTCTCTCTTTTTTTTTTTTTTTTAATGAATATTTCCGTCCCAGGGTTGCTCCATTCCCACCCAAAGCTGCCAGTAGTAAAACGGAGTGACTGCTGTCAAATGCAGAACGTCAGTAGCAGGACAACCAGAGCCAGTGTCTTCTCCTACCCTTTTTGGCATAATTACTTGATGCACTTTTTTTTTTCATTTATGCTCCCAGCTTGACTGTTGTGTTTTCCTGAAAGACATTTTGTTGTTGTTTTCTTATCGTTTTGGAAGGTGTTCTCCTTTCTACCTGCGCATACAAACTAAATTTTATTTTAAGGAGTCTTAGTGCAAGCAAGGAATTGATCCTCCTTTGCACTTGAGCCTTGTTTCTTGGTCCTGGTAACATGAAGGAGCGTGAAAGTGGGAGTAAATATTAACACTTGATGGTCTTTTTACACCCTCTGAATCTGATAAAGGGGTCTCACATCCGCTAAGCATCTGGGGCTTGATGTTCCCTTTCTTTACATGTTCATTTCATAATAAGGTGACTTAAAAAGCTACGTAGGAGGTGCCAGAGAAGTCCATGATAACTCCTCACCCGTAAGGAGGAAATGATGAACACGACGAGCTTAGAAGGGAGGAGGAGAAAGACATGGAAAGGTTGCCAAGAAACAATCCGGAGGAGAAAAACTTTGCATCCTGTGTTAAATGAGAGATCACAAAGGTCTTATAATTTTGACTTCAGGCATAGGTACCTTTGGGCCCTGTCCTTCCAACATGTTAAGGATGCAGAGGATGCATCTAGGTGCCTCATGGCTTTTTCAGAACTGCCAGGTCACCTAAACCTTACTGCGTCAGCATTTTATTTAGCTAAGTTACGTGTAATTTAGCTTCTGAGGCTTGTGCTGTTCTCCCCTCAAAATTTAACCGAACTTGCTGTATAGCCATAAACAACATGGTGAGGGGTGAGATGCTGTTCCTTGCAACATGTTTTTTTATGTCACCTGGTTGATGCTGATAAAGCAAATACAAATGTGGTGCCACTTTGTTGCAAGATTTCCTGTAACAGACTTCAGAAAGTGCCAGGCTGGGTAGGAAAGGGTCATCTAGGGAGTGACCAAGTCACCTAGCAGCACTTGGCCCTGTCAAAGCAGGGGGAAAAACAACCAAGCCAGGTTGTCCACCAGGTTGCCAGCAGCCCCTTCTCCCCCTGCAAAGAGGCATGAAGGCACCAAGGGTTTTTTTTTCCAGGAAAGGCATCTCCATACATGTGCTTCCACTGAGTGCTATAACTTTCCTAGCAGGAGCTGAGTCCTCAAATTACATTAGTTTTGTTATTTCTGAGAGGCCAAAGTTCCTTCCGCGGGTTCCCCTGGAGATGCGTGAGGCAGCGCGGTGCAGGTCAGCTCCCGCGCTGGCTCCGTGCAGCGCCCGACTGCCACACAGCTGTAGGTGACACCACGCTGGTCTTTGCTGTGGCCAAGGTGTTTTAGCCTTTCAGGAGATGAAATGAAACCATTTCCAAGTGGGAGGCAAGCGCCAGGGCGTGTGAGACCTTGCATAGCAAGCTGTTCCTATAGCCAAAATGTTAAATCTTCTGCAGATGTGGAGGCTGTTGAAAGCGTCTTGCCTTACCGTGCTACGAGAAAAAATGTCTCTCTCTTTGAAGAGTAAAAGATCAAGTAACTCGTTTGGGTTTTCCTTCAGGTGCCAGGTCATCTCGTTTTGAGCCGCTGTCGGCAAATTCATGCTGTGGTCCAGAACGTGCAATTTGGAAAGTGATTCTCTTAAAATACCAGAGTAGCACAGGGTTAAGTGTCCCTGGGGAATAAGCTAGCTATAATTCATCCTTTCAAAAAGTGACAATGTCTGATTTTTCATTTAAGATAGAAACCCCCTATAGCTCTGGTAGTTGAAAAAAGCTGTGGTTTTACAGCAGAATCAGGACATTAATAGTCATAACCATTTTTAATGGGTTGTGAGTAAACAACCGCAGAAAGTGTAGGACAACTCGTGAACTGCCAATCCATAAAATGTTCCTCTCGTAAAGGCTGGAAATAATAAAAGGGTTATTGCTAACCTCAAGTATGAAGAAATCATGAGTCAGATCTCCAAAATCTCAAGACTGTACTTATAACATTGTGATTTTAAGGAAGTTTATTTGATGTTTTAAAGAGGGTTCATTTGAGTTCATTTAATATACTTTTTGCCTTTTTAGGTCATAGAAATCATGAAGTCTTGTTTATTTTTGTGTGTGTTTGTTGTTTGTTTCTGGGATGTTCTTTCTGTAAACAAAAGCTGAGATTTGTATATTTATAGGACTGCAAGGCCCACGGCTGTAAGATGGCATGAAATATCATGAGACTAGTGGCATGTGTCTGTGATTGCTGGCAAGGCTGTAAATAACTTATTTTTATTGCTGGAGTGGTCAGAGATGATGCTGGATATCACGGAAAGAGCAGAACCTATTCAGTCAGACAGCTTTTTTTTTTTTTTTTCTCCCTATTTCACTGTATTTCTGCTTGCTGAATGCAACAGGCAGTGAACAAAATGGGGACCTAGTGAGGTTAGATGGGAAGACGCTTATCCTTATTGTCTTAAAGAGGCAGCTTGGGTGATGTTAAGTACGTGTAAACATAAAAGCCTGTCTCTGGCATGTAGGCAGCAAGCAAGTTTTATGCAAGGCACTGAAACGTCTGTGTTTTTTACTCTTTCCTTAGTGTTAGGCAAGCTTCAGGGAGACCCTCCTGTGTCCTTATCTAAGCTGCCCCTCTCTCAAGCAGGAGCAAGCTGGGAGGAATATTCCTAGTGGATGTAAGAGCAGCTACCTGGGAAGAGAGGATGCAGCCCTGGGTGCCAGACTGCAAGCAGAGGGAGGGGAAGGCAAAGTGTGGGCGTCTTGTGGGTGGTCACGCATCTCCCCCCGGCACTGTGTCTAGCACGTGATGTATTTTGCGTTGTGTTTGCTTTTGCATCACCAACAACTCTGCACCCAGTCCCATTTTCAGGGTGGCCTCAGACACAGGCTGGTACCAAAGAGATGCTTTGCTGCTTTCTGAGGGCTTTTTCTTGCAACTGGTGATGCTGAAGCAGAGAAAACCCTGCTTGGCTTCCAGACAGGCAGGGCTGGTGCCCAGCAAAAGCACCTTTGCTCATTAAAATGTGTGCGCTCACTCTTCACCGCCAGTGCAGTCGTGGGAAGCCTTCTCTTGTGGGTGATTGGTTTCCCCATGTTCTGATTCACTGTGTTAATAAAATCAAAATCCTTCCCCTGGGTGCTGCTTTCCAAATGCTTCCCCTCGCTTGGCCTTTGAAGTAGCGCGCCAGGCCTGCGCGCGGTGCGGATGCAAACTGCAGGCCCGGGGTGCTTGGCACACGTTTACAACGTGTCACCCCGTAAAAACCACGCGGAAAGGTGGGCGCGAGCGCCCGCTAATGCCTCTCCTGCCTTCTGTTGCCGTTGGCTTCCAGCACGTGTGGAGCGAGAGCGAGGACTGCTTGCCTTTCCTGCAGCTCGCGCAGGACTACATCTCTTCCTGCGGGAAGAAGACCCTCCATGAAGTGCTGGAAAAAGTCTTCAAATCCTTCAGACCTGTGAGTGCCTCTCTTTTCATTATTATTATTTTTTATTTCAGGTATTCCACCCTCCATTGGGCCAAACTGAGACATTCGGATTTTACTGTTAGAGTGGTTGCAACTTCATACTTGAAAATGCTGGTTTAATCACTCCTTGGGAAGAGAGAGCAGAGTGGGCACTGGGTTTTGTGGGGAAGGGCTTGTATTCTGCTGCTGCTCAACCTCCTCTCTTCTTGCTAAACGCTCAGATTTGGGCTAAAGCCTGTGTTTGGTCAGTGTGTTAGGTTGGCCATAGTCCTTCCCGGATTCTTGGCCTGCCAAATCCCCCCCATCCTGGCACAATTTCTCCTTTTGCCTGCCTTGGCCTGTGATACCTAGGCTGGTGCAATGAAAAGCAGAGGCTTATTGCTCATGTCTTCTCCCCATGTCTCCCCTGAGGCCCGTGGTAAAGCTGACCACTGTACATTTTTAAATTTAACTGAAAATGTACACAGTTTTTCTTCTTCTCTTTTTTTGGCTGGATAATCAAGAAATTGCAAATCTATCCCAAATAGTTGGAGCAAAAGGGAGGGCCTGGAGTGCTGATACAAAATCACGGGGCCTCCCTGTGTTCCCTGTTACACCCTTGCGTTGCCGCAAACGGCCACAGCTGGCTCATACAAAAGAACATCATTTTAAAGAGCCCTTTGAGAGACTGAAAATAAATAGAGCAGATGCACACTTTTCTGAGAAAGGCCTGGAAAGCTGATCCATCAGTACAGCTGCTTGTAATTTTGAAAGCATATAAAAATACAAATATGTTTCCCAGGATGATGTTCAGCTCTTGAATCCTCATAACTCTTTTCTCCTACTCAAAAAGGCTGTGTCTTAGAGGAGAAACTTCCACTGGTTTAGCTAAAGGGGATGTCACAAAGATTTAATTAAACTGGCACAAATCACTTATTTCAAACCACGTTTACTTCAGCATAACTTAAACTGATGAGAAAATTGTCTTCAGTGAAACCACATTAAGCCGTTCTTAAGAGTAAGAAGATTCAAAGCTAGAAGAGCTGACGTGGTACCTTAGTCTGGACCCTCCCCTAAAATACATCAGATTTCACCCAACGATTCCCGCAGACAAGCATGCAAGTAGTGGTTGAGCTGGAGCATCTCTTCAAAAGGCACGTGGTCTGGCTTTAAAGACTTCAGGTAACTTAAAAGCTACATTACTGCTGGGCAATTTTTCTTCCAATTATTAGTTACACTCAACTGAAAAAAAATCTAATCTGAATTTGTGTAGTTCTGCTTCCTCATCGATAAATTTTGTTATGCTTTTGTCTGCTTGAGAACTGTGCCCTCAATTACCAGAGACTATAATCAAGCACCTCTTCATTTTCTCTGGGATATACTGTGCAGATTCAGTTTTTCTGGGTTTTCTTTAACCTACTGTCAAGAGGTTTGCATTGGTCTAGTGAAAGCAGTTTTGTCATTCAGTGCATGGTTCTATGTAGACAAGTCTAATAAGAAACATATCGACATTTTTCTCTCATTGTAATTGCTATAAAAAGTAGGATAGCTTTTAAAAATTGAAGCGTGTTGCAACAGATATAAGGAAAAGTAATTTTATGCCCTCTCATGCATTTTCCATAAAAAACAAAAACACTTTATTTATCGGTACTGGGAGACGATTTCCTTGGCATTACTTCCTTCTGCCCGCTGTCATTTCTGTTTTAGACCTGTTTCGTTAATGAAATAAGCATTATGTGCGGGTGGAGGTAGGAGTGCTTTGGCAGTGCAGTTCTGCCCCACTATCCAAAGTCCTCTGTCAAAGACCGGTCTGGAAAATTTCAGCTTTTTTTTTTTAAAAAAAAAAAAAAAAAAAAACAGGTTAGGAAAATGGTTGTGTGATGGAGGTCTGGTCATGCTCTTCTAAAGTGTCTAATGATGCTGGATGCTCAATTTGGAATGTGAAGAAGGAGCCAGATTTTTTAGGATTTGGTTGGTAAGCACTTTCCAAGAGTCTTTTCCATTACGGCATTTCCAGTCTGACGTGCAGAATTATTGGACGATTTTGAAAACCGTTGCCGGGGCCCATAGAAGAGCAGTGTTGAGGAACTGCTGGCCGTGGCCCATGTACCTGGCCTGTGTGTGTGCCCTTCCTTGCCCGAAGGCTCTTGGATCTGCTGGATTTGCAGCCAGCACCTCAGTGTGGCCCAGCTCTGTGCACGCAGGAGCAGCAGGGGCTCTGCCTGCTCTGCCCCAGAGTTGTGGCCTAGCAAGGGAGGTGTCGACTGGTCCTGAGGGATCTCCCTGCCTGTGTATCTGACATGATGAGGGGACAACCAGGAGGCAACCAGGGCGATCCAGGGGTTGCTCACCAGCCCTCACTTCCACAAAGGTGTGTAACTTGCCTTATTCCATGTTTATTCAAAGAGTGTCCAAGAGCACTAGACAGTCTTCCAGCTTGGAGAGCTTCCTTGTAGAGCTTTTGTACAGAGCAAAGCTGGGCAGGCGCCCGAGGGTTAGGGCCAGGTCCTCTCATGATCCTGTGGCTGGGCACATGCATGCCAGCTGGGGGGCAGCAGCCTTCCCTCTGCTTTGGAGGAGGAGAGCCCAGTCCTGTGGAGCTGGGGACCGAGCGCAGTCCCATCTCCCATGGTGAGGTGCCCACGAAGCGTTACAGACAAGCACAGCTCTGGAGGCTCACCTAATAGCTCCAAGAAGACTTTCAGCATTGCCTGCTGTACAGGAAAATACCTCTCTCACTGTCTTCTGTCTGAAGAGAGGAAAAAAAAGAGAACATTATCTGTTGTTTCAAATTTGAGATCAGCTTCTGAACCTGATTCTAGTGAACACTTCTCGTCTTCCATCTAAGCTCACTGCTTTCATGGGTTTTTTTGCTGCCTCTTGATGAAATAAACTATTTGCATGAGTGTGCCCCAGCTCTTCAGGAATCCTTGTTTCTGTCGTGCCATTTCAGTGCCTGGGAGCAGGCAGAGGTGTCCGTGCTTGCACTTGTAAGCCCATCTGCCTTGAGATTCATTCCTTCACACCAAGATTCAACACAGCCTCATTATCTCTCTTATGCACTGCTAAAGCAGTGACATCCCTCCAAAAAACTACTTAACAGGCAGATAACTTGGCCTGAAAAAATAAAGTTGGGACTGTCTTTCCATCACTTCCTTGCCATCTACCTGACGATCTCACCTGGCTGGTGTGCTCTCCTTGCCCCTTTGGCCCACAGCTCTCCTCTCTTTGCACACTTCATGTTTTGCCTCCTTCCTCCTTATTTTTACTTTCCATTAAGCTCCCCTTCATCTGCTCCGTAGCTGACGCTGGAAAGCATCTGCTAGATACAGCTTAGAAGCAGAAACTATGTTTGAAAGAAGACAATGTGGGAGTCAGCCTGGGATTCCCTAGCACCACCTTAATAGTCTTGTTGTGCCCCAAGCTTTATCCTCCTTCCTCCTGTTTTGGCACAGATGCCAGTGCATTGGACCCTGATTCTTGATGAGGTCAAACCCTTGGCTGATTTGCCCCTGCAGTGCAGAAAATAATGAATGGTGGTGGGAAACCTCGGGGAGTTGATGGGATCTCCATCACGGACCCTGCGGTCTCATCAGCTCACGAGGCCGGGGGTGCTCAGGTACGCAGGATAGGTTCCTTCCCTGTACTGGCCATTTCCTTCTCAGGGTGAGTGCTGTCTATTCAGTGCTCATTTTACAGAGGTAAGACAGCATTCCATAAAACAAAGATGAGACTCTTACTCATGTGGCTCATTTCTGAGCACATCAAGGAGGAATTATAACTAGAGCTGGACAGGAAAAAAAATAGAAGTCATCAAAGCTCTTTCTGCCAAACTGAGCAATATAAGACACAAATTTAATTTGAATAGACTGAATCAATTTAGAAAGAAAAAATACTGATGGATAAAAATGCCTAGAGGCCTTGTTTTTGCATTTAAAAAGCTGCATGTTTTAATTTTAGCTTCCAAATGAAATGAAACCCCCAAATTCTGAAAATGAACCAGGTAGTTTCACATTCAGTTAAACATCTGATTTGAAAAAAAATACATACAAATAGGGTTCTTTACTCTTTTTTTCCCTGGGAAGAAACAAGAACATTTTCAGCTTGAGGTCTCTCCAGAAGTATTTTTAAAATACGAAGGAGGGGGTTTAGTCAGCAGATTCTCCTTCCAGTTCACTGCCAAAATCCCCTGCAACGTAAAACCTGCTGTTTTCGTAGTGCCAGTAAAAAATACAACTGGACCTGGAGACTCGTTCTGTGTGTTGCATTTGCATCCACTGGATCATTTTGAAATGGTGATAACAGACAAAATGCATTTAGATCCTTAGAAATCAACCTTGTTGCCACCTTCTCACTTTCATGCTACCACCTAGGGAGCATCACCCTCCTCCTGTTTTTTTCTGGGCTTTGTCTCCTTTGTGGGAGAACAGCTGTGTTGCTCTCCAAACAGGGGCTTGCATGAGCCTGCGCTGCTCGCTCAGCTCTGGCAGCTAAATACACAGTATTCCCAATAATGCCTGGCTTATAGTTTTGCTCAGTAGATATTAATAGCAGCTTATGTAGGATCCTCGTAAGAGATTTCCAGAACAGATGCATTATTTTGACTGTTATTTGGTTTATCTGTCTCTCACTTGTGTTGGGTTGGCAACCTTTTGGAGGTGAGGGGAAAAGTTCAACCCTTTGTTTGCTGCTTTTCCTGTAGCCAACAAGTGCCACTGTAATAATCTGGGACATCAGAGTGGCAGCATCTAAGTGTCGTCCAAGGAAGGTGGATTGGCAGGTTTTCATGAGCCCAAATGTAATCTGAAGAAATTTAAAGGGAATTGGGCAATCCTTGAGTTGAATTACTCATTGAGCTCACTACACCCAGCGTGCAAACCTTCATATGGAGTGATGGAGGGAAGGGTTCAAGAGAAGCACCCTCATGGTGGGATCCTTGGTCTTTAGGGACCTTCTCCCTACCCCGTACTAGCCACTTATCTCTTTGATGCTTTCTTTTTTTTTTTTTTTTTTTTTTTTGTCTTTCATAGGGTTACTGAACACGGTTTTAAACTGAGTTTGCTAGTGCTACAATATTATCATGATTCTTTTTGAAGTGAAACTACTGCCAAGTCTAAACACTCATAAAATTGTGATATGACCTCAGGGAAAAACACAAAGCTTTCTGAAAGTGCTTTGCTTTGGTTTTATTTATCTTCTGGTCCCTGAGCACTTAATTTGGTGTGAAGCTTCATCTTCCAATCTCCCTGTGTCACGTGAAGGACAGAGGGAGAGTCACGTAATACTGTTGTTCTAGGAATTGAAGTTTTCGAGAAATGGCATCTAGGTATTTTGTGGAGATTTGTGTTGAAATTGCATGAGTGGGTAATGCACTATTACACAGTATTTTCTCCTCTTTGTAGTTACTTGGGCTTCCAGATGTTGATGATGATGCATTTGAAGAATACAACGCAGATGTGGAAGAAGAGGAGCCAGAAGCCGATCACCAACAAATGGGTGTCAGTCAGCAGTAATTTTCCGAGAAGCTAAAAAAATTGGAACCCCTTGGTACCAGGTGGGGTCACGTGGTCCCACGTTAGCCTATTTGAATTAGCACATCATGCTGGGATATCGGGCTCCCAGGGTAAAAGTCTTAACAACGGTTCTACCAACCAACCAACCAACCAACCAACCTGTGATGAGCTTTGCTGAGAAGTGACCTGAATTTCGCTCCTGCTTCAGTGGGGTTTCTATGGAGTTGTCTTGGTAGCATTCTGCCACTATCAGTTTAGAAGTAGTTTCGTTGCTGACTGTCTCCTTGATTTGTATTAGAGAATAACATTCGCTGGCATGAATGTAGAGTACTTTGAATGTAGGAGCTGTTGGGTTAGAGTGCCGGGTACTCATATGTGACCTTACTGGGGAAGTTAATGCAAAGAGTAAGTGCAATCCATGCTTTTCTTTTAGTTCAACAGCTATGATTTTTTCAACTCTATGCTATCAGGCAAAGTACTGCACTTTGAGAGCTTTCTTCTGAAAAACACTAGTTTAATAGTGGTCAGTACTGCAGAAGTGTGCATAGAGGCTGCGTGAAAATAACGGGAAGTGGGAAATCCATGTGGAGTGTTTGTATGAGACGCCTTAATGTCATTTTACTAGCACTTGAATTTGCAAGTGCTGGATTAATCACGGGGCGTAATGAAAGCTCTCATCAACCATACACATTACAAGCAACCTCATTACTTGACACCAATCGATCCAAAGCCAAATGCTATTTTGGGACAAATTGAAGCAATTGAAAATCTCCATTACATATGCCACTTCTGCAGGAAAACCAACTTTAAACTTCACCGTTTTTAATATGTTGATAAATTGTTATTCCAATCTTGCAATCTCCTGAATTGAAGTGCAACTTAACTTTGAAGCCATAAGGGTATAAACCAGCACCAGGCTCTTGAAATTACGCTGGACTTCTTCCTCGCTCCAGGCCTCCGTGTAAATAGTCTTTGACCGAGCCAGGGCGTTTACACCTCTTTGGAGGAGACCTAAAACACTACCCAAGCAGAAGGGAAAGACTTGTCTCTTAACAGTGAGGCCCCTGTGCTGCTTTGAAGAGGTAGAAAAGCCTCACAGGGACCACAGAGGTAACTCACAACGACTTTGCAGCCCCTTTGCGCTACCAGCCTTCAGCCCATGTAAAAGCTAGTGAAGCAGAGGGTTTTCTTCAGCTGGGACTTGCTCCCCAGAGTGATTTGAGGGGGTCTTGGTGTAAGGGGCAATAAGACCCCTCGTATTTTATACCTATTTTGCATAGATTCAAATGACTCCAATGAGTGCTATCCAGTGAAGATACAGGGTCTCTTTAATTACTTGCCTTTTATACTGAAGATATTAGAAACCAAGGGGTTCTGTTGGGATGCAGCTATTTTCCATAGTCAAACTAAATGTTTCTAAACTTATGCGATTTTTCCAAAGTTTTTAAAATTGTGAAATGAAGGTCACATGCTCCAAAAGCCCTTTTACAGAGAATTAGCTTCATAAAAACAGAATGTGAATGAAGGGAAAATACTTGGACAACTCCCAGAAACAACTCGCACCATATTGAAAACCGTTGTTAGCAATGTTTCCTTTTCAATAGATTTTAAAAAGACTTTATTTTCACAGTTATTTAAGGGGATAAGTTTTCTAGGGGATTTACATTTCTGGTGATGTCCTGAGAGATGTGTAGCACTTGATTCATTTCTAACCTGAGGCAAAGACCTTCCGTAACCAGGATGGTGTTTGGTATCTGAGTACGCACCAAAGTGTCTGCAACACTGTAAAAGTCTGAGCTTAAGAACACTGAAAGAGGGGAAGAGGAGCAGACCTTAGGCACCCTTTGTACATCCTTTCGGCATGCAGGCATACACCTGATAGTCGCAACACATTTCCTATGGACCAGTGACGTGAGAACTGTGGCAGTTCATTGTATAACACTGTACAGCAGCAATAGGCTTTTTGCTTACTAAAATAAAGTGCAAGACCAGTGGTTTCCATCCCTGCTTTAAGTCCCTAAGGATTCTTTTTTTAAATTTTTAAATTTTTTTCCCCTCTCCAGGTAAAAAGGATGCCATAACCTTAAATGGAGACTTGCTTAGAGCCGTCTCCTTCATAGCATCCAGTCCCTTGATTGCAGCTCGTATAAACAGATCGGTGGAGGGGCTGGGTTTCGGGGCAAAGCCCTAGCACTCAGGTTTACCAGCTGCATTCCCCCCTTTTGCAGAGGGGCCGAGCGTGCACACACACACACACACACACAAGCCCAAGCCCAGTGCTGCCCGTCCTGGGCACGGTGCCCCCATGGTGGCCGTGTCCCTCTGCCTCCTGCGCTCCCAGTGCTGCTCCTCGTGTCCCGCGCTGGGCTGTGCCCTAGAGCTGGCCATACCCTTCTGTGGTTTCCCTGGCAGGCAGCTCTTGGGCCAGACTGGGATGTGATCCAAGGATGGTGCAGGGTGGGAATGCACAGCCTGAGGCTCCTTGTGCCTTCCTGGAGGTGCTAAGGGCCCTGGATGGAGGTGTCAATGTGGCTGAACAGGCCTAAGTGCTATTAGGAGTCGAGCCCACAAGCCTCAAGGTGGTGGAGAATCGGGCTGTGAATTATGGTGGGACTCAGC